ATGTTCATGATTCTTACAATGATTCACTAGATCTTATCAATTCCGCATATGTCATCATGATTAACACCACTACAGTTGATATTAGAGCGGGTGTTCTTGATTTGATCAAGAATTGATCCATGATGACATTCTAGATTTGGTTTTTCTTCATTGTGTTTTGATCTTTGTGTTTTAGAGAGTTTTTGGATTCTAGAAATCGAATTCCTCATCGATTCTATTCATAATTTGATTTTCTTCACTAGAAGTCGAGTGATTTTTGCTTTCTCTCTTTAGAAAACCCATTCAAAATCACTTTCTCTCTCTAGAAAACCCAAGTTCATATCGATTGATCAAAGATGGGAGAATCAATTTGTGAAATGTGGTTTGTATTAGAAGAAAGAAGACATTTGAAGAACTTCTCTATTCTTTGGTAGTTGGATCAATCAAAAGTTATTCAATCATTTCTTGTGTTGAAAAAGATGAATTTGGAAAGATGGTTGGATATGAAATTGATCATGAAAAGAATAAAGTTTTGCTTGATCATTTGGTTGAAACTTATCATTAAAGAAGAAGGAAAAAGAAAGAAGATCAAATCATTCAAGGAATCCGTATTGATGCTCCAAAATATGGTTTCAATGTTCTTCAATTTTACCCGGATGTTCATGAAGATCATAAAGAGGTTCTTGAACAAGTTCATCATGTTCATTATGTTCTTGAAGTTCAAGATAAGAAGATTCAAGTAGATTTTCGTGAAGATGAAAAAGTTTTTTCCTCGATTGGAGTTCAAACCGATGATATTTTGTGTTCTTGTGGTTCGTTTGAAGGAATGATTCCTTATCGAAATCCGTTAATCCAATAAATTCACTAATATCAAATTCCAAAAGATATGATCCAAACTTGTCAAGTTGAAGTTGTGGAAAATGGGTTTGTTCATGAATTCAAATCTTCAAGATGCAAGAAGATGAAAAAGAAAAAGAAAAAGAAGAAGAATATCAAACATAAAAACAAGCAGGTTTTTCACAAAAATAGTCAAATGTTGTTGTGAAGCCGAAATCGATTAAACAAATTTTGATTCGAAAGCAACAATCTCCAAATTTTGCAATGAATTTGAACTCAAAACCCAAAAATGTTGATGGTTCCTATGAAGATGGTGTTAGATCGTTGAAGAACACAAAGAATGAGTTGTACAACACGCATTGTGGGTGGTACAATGTTCAAATTGGAGAATTTCTTGTTCCAACAAAAGAGCCAAGTTCTTCAAAATTTGATTCGTTCGTTGGAAATTGAACTCAAATCATCAAAAAGATATCTCAAATTCTCAAATGGATTCCAAAACGTTCTTGATTACGATTCATGCTTTGCGTTTTTCATTTTTGATCGTTTTGATTCGTTGGATCTATTCCGTTTCAACACCATTTTTCATCCAATTATTTTTGTTCAGATCAAGCACAAAATCAAGAAATTCAATGTTCATCATGAGCCAAATCCAATTCAACAAATCCATTGTGTTTACTGTTCATTGTTATTTTGAGTCTATTATGTTGAAGATCTGTTACTAGATTTATCCATGAGCCCATTTTAACAAATCAGATACTATTTGTTTACCTAGCCCAATTCGAATCAAATGAATTCTGATACTCGATGTTATTTGAGTTCCGATGATGAACAGTCAACACAAAAGTCAAAATCGACTCTTGTTTGTGTCTGGTTTCGAATGAAACATATATCTTTGAAATCGATTTCGATTTTGGTATTGATGTCAAGTTGTTTTGGATTTGAGAGTCGAAAATAGATTGTATTAACAGTTCATAGAGTCGTATTTGGTCCAAAGTCGTATTGTATGAGTTCGACTGATTCTTGAGTTCGTTGTTTGAAATCGTTTTTTTATATTGTTCAAGCTCGATTTTTGGTTGTTTTCTGAATGTTTGAATCGATGATAGATCGAACTATGTTTTATGGAGTCGAACTGATTATGTTTTGGAAGAAAAGATTCAACAGTGACAGTCAAAGTTTAGTTCTTACGAATCCAGAATTCGAAATCGAAAGAGAATCAGATGGGTTCGCAATGGGTTTTGGGTTTGCGATTTGATTTCAATGATTTGTGGAATCGAACTTCTTAAGGTCGACATTCGATATTTGATATCCGTATTCGACTAGTATAATGATTTGGGATTAAATGCATTGATGTCGAACATGTGAGGCTGAGAACGAAGAATTGATTGGGAAGGTGATTTCGATTTGTGAGAGTCGAATGAAATACTTTAGGATCGATTTCGAATGGTTACAGGTTAAGGCTCGATGGTTGCTATTAATTGCTCCTAACTGGAAATTGATGGCTCGGTGTCGATGGTCGTAAGATCCTTACCTGATATCGAGTTCGATGTTTCTTATACAGAATCAATGTCAAGGATCGATGTCGACGGTACGATTTTGAAAGATGGTTTAAAATTGAGGTTTGACCGTTCAAAATTGGATAACAAATGTTTGTGTCTACTATGCTGATGAGTGAATAAGTCAATGATTGAAGACTTGGAGTTTGAATTGGTCTTCATTCACTTTGGTCAAATCGAATGGGTATATGGTGTGGATTTTGATTCCGAAATAGGAGTCTTGATTTGGGAAGGGAATACCTGTAGAACGAAGATTTGATATTGAGATCATATGAGAAGATGAAAAAGCAATGATTGTGTTTGGATGGTGATATCGATTCGAAATTGGATCGATGGTTTGGAGTTGATGGTTGATGGTTCGATGTCGATGGGCGTATGATCGATTTCGTTGTCGACGGTCCCTACAAGAGTTCGATGTCGAGTAGCTATTAACTCATCGAGGATCTATTTTCGTGACTGATACAACGAAGTGTAGAAGAAAACAAACATTTTCGATTTGGGTCCCTAATCGTTTAACGAAATGGCAGAAAATGTCCAACTTCGAAATGGTGTCAAACTCTTGTGAAGAATGAAGATGTTTTGCATTTTCGTCCCTGATGTTTCGAAATGATGGCAGAAACTACCCAACTTCGAAATAGGACTAAAGAAATTCTGAGAAATGGTGAAATTTACATTTCAAGCCCCTGTAGTTAATGCAAATTGTCACTTTATGTCCAGTTTCGCAATTGGGGTAAAGTTTCTCATTCGAGACTGTTTTTGGCGCAATGGGTCCCTGTAGAATTCTGATATTGACAGTTTTTACCCGGATTTTCGAAATTTTTTCAACTCTCACCCAAAAGTTGAAAATTTTCACAAAAATTGGAAAATTTTTATAACTTTTTCGTGATTGTTTTTCCATGCAAGTTTTTCGTGGTTTCATTTTTGGCACACATCAAAGGGGAGTTTTGTGAAGATTATTCATCGGGCGCTTCTCAACCTTAGTGGGTTTTATAATCATTTTTTTTATTATAAAAAAGGGGAGAATGAAGAGTGGGTATTCGAAGCTTCTCGAGTATTCATTTGCGGATTTGAAGACCGGTATTACTTTGAGGGGGAGTTAGTCTTGATCACGCGAGCTCGTTGGATATTGAAGCCGAGACAATCCAATCCTAACTTTGAGGGGGAGAATGTTAGGGGTGCAAAGTCACGCTTGGATGTCATGTGTGCTTACTCCTTTGTATGTGTGTAATGAGTTGTCTTTCCTTTATAAGGAAGTGAGTGACACTCATTTTATCTAAGAAGGAACATTTATGAGAGATTAGTTTAGAGAGAGAAATATTGCAACCCACTTGTACTCTTTCTAAAAACTAATGAGAGCTTAAACAATTTATTTACTCTTGTGTTCTTCATGTTCATTATTCTTACAATGATTCACTAGATCTTATCAATTCCGCATATGTCATCATGATTAACACCACTACACATTGTCATAAAACCAAGGTAATCAAATTGTATCAATTAGGGGTGAGCAAAAATCACACCGCAACTAAAATTAACCGCATAAACCGCAACCGATTAACCGTAACCGCAATAAAAACCGATGGTGAGGTTTTATGTTTTTCAAAAACCACAAATTTGCGGTGCGGTGCGGTTATTAGTTTTTCAAAAACTGCAAAAAAACCGCACCGCACCACATATATTATATAAATTTTTTTTTATTAATTATTAATATATTAAATATTAGAAATAAGACAAGTTTCATGGATGAAAGAATGATAAAATTTTAGAAGACAAAAGTGTTGGTTTTTCTTATGTTTAACTTTAAGAATGGTGAAATTTGACAGTTTTAAGATATTTATTGTTAATTAGTAGTGATTTAACATTTTTAAAATATTAGTTGTTTGAAACTTAAGTTAATTGCCGTATACCTTCTGGTTTTTTATTATTATAAGTAATATGTTTAAACTCTTAAACTTGTTTGAATTCTGAAGTGCGGTTAAAAACCACACAAAATAACTGCACCTAATCCATGCGGTTAATAACCGAAATACAAAAAACAAAACCGCACCGCAAATAACCGCACCAAGCGATTTTGAAAATGGATTAACCGCATTTGCGGTTAGTGGTGAGGTTTTGGCCAATAACTACACCGAACCGCACCGCGCTCACCCCTAGTATTAATACATCATCAATATCAAAGTAAAACATAAAATGCGAAATCGACACGACAAATAAAATGATATTTAGTGGCACATAAAAAATGTCACTAATACCGAAAAATTGCCACTACAGACCCCCCCCCCCCCCCCCCCCCCCCCCCAATCAGCGACACAAAAAACAATGTCACTAAAAGAGCTACCACTAAAGACCTTTAGTGGCACTTTTTGGTTGTGCCGCTGCAGGCTAATTGGTTTTTAGTGGCACTTTTCGATTATGCCACTAAAACACTTGTAGGTTTTAGTGGCACTATTTTTATGCCACTATTTAACTGAAAAAAATGTTATTATTTTCATGCTTTTAGTGATATTTTTTTACACAAAAAACTATATTAATAAATTAAATCTGTTTTTTATTTTAAATGAAATATGAAACACCAATAAGACAATTAAGATAGCAAATGTAAAACACATCTTTACTTCAATTCGAACTTTTCCTATAACAATATTCTCAATAACTAAAACACAAATGTCTTGAAAAATAATAAGTCTAAATCGTGCTAGTACTCCAAACATAATGCTCCTAGCTTCAAGATCAGCACCACTAGGAAAATCAAACGGGTTGCGAGATTTTGTATCAAGTCTATGTGATTGTGCTCCATCCTGAACCAATCAAATATAATAAAACTAATAATAACAATAATAATAATTAGAGTAAATGTAAATTTAGATTAAAAATTCTTGATCTTCGATCACCTGTTGCAACTAATTATCTTATTAACATTTTTAGAAAACTAGTTATCACTTTATGACTCCACATACGAAAACTCCTTTAACAAAACTTATATCCGTATATTATTGTTTAGAAACCATGGTTTTCTACAACTTTACATCTAATAACAAAAGACACAACTCATAAGTCATAACAACTTGAAAGTAAATGAGTTTCTAACGAATTAATAAAGATTTGGCAATAATTTACAATTACAATTAAAATCTTAACAACAAAAGCAGATTGGTACCAAAAGAAGATCTTGCCTTCTACCGTTTGATTTTAAATAAGTCTTTACAAACCTACTAAAGTTCATAAAACTATGAAGATTTAGATTAAACTTTATAAAGAATGATTTTTTACCTTGAAATGTCACATGTTCAACCACTTTGGCTTGACCGTCTTCTTCTTTCTAGTTGGCTTTTGTACTGTAGCAACATGCGCAAATCCAGAAGAATGGAAATCTGAAGACATGTTCTTTATTTGCTTCTTGGGGGTGTAGTATCTGGAAAAAGATGCCAATAATGCCCTTATGTATTTATTCGTTTTGATTGTATAACATTTTATATACTTTATGAAGAGGGTCATACGTTAAACATTTTACCCCTTTTGGGCCGGAACAGATGCCAATATCCTAAAAGGTTATCCCTAGAAACAAAAATATTAGTGTTAAAACAACAAACATATTCCATAAAGGCCTTAACATATATAAATATAAGTTGGATTATTTCATTATTCTCAAAAGGAATATGTAACACCTTTCAAAGGCCTTAATATTTTTGTTTCCATGCTCATCAATACGATCATCTTCTGCAAGCCTCTGGACATGAGTGAAAAAGCAAGCTCACAAGTATGTCAAACTCCTTATCTGAATCCGTGTTCAGCTGCTAAATGCTACATGAATTCAATAATCACAAATGGTTTCAGATTGTTATTGACAACTAAAATGCCTACATCCGACTTAAGTTGTGATGAAGAGAGTTTTTATAAAAGGTTATACATGCCAGCTAGGTAAATAACATTACATATCTGATATCACCATGGTCTTATTTAGTTAAAAATGATCCAACCAATGAACAGTTCAATAAGGAACAGTAAGCAATTTAAGTACTCGACAAAAAATAAGTTTTATAAATTTTATGCTAAAGAAATTGAAAATGACAAATAATAACATAATATTTACTTTCTATAATAGTTGTATAAAAGATAAATCATTTTATTCACCTTGAGAAGGCCATTTAGTTTCAATATGGTATGGAAGAAAACTCATCCAACATCTCCACCTACAATATGAAAAAGATCATCATCATACAAATTCATATTTACAGACCATAAAGTTCCGAATTAGATGTCATCTACTCATTTTCTAGCTCACTTCAGCAATAATTAACTTTAAGTTGAACTTTTTATATCATACATTTCATCAAATATGCTATGTGCATCATAACTTACATCTTTATTTCGAAATCAAATCACCTAGCGCTCTCGCCAAATCAACAACCAGGTTTTCTTATGGTTTCTCGTTGACTCCACGTATTCTAGATTCGGAGATGGATGCTAGAGGTATATTTTCGTGCCTAATTTCTAAAAGCAAAAAATGATTTCATACCTGAATCAGAGATATATGGTCAGAGTGCAACGACAAGCATGAATAGGGGGCAACGACGACGAGGTTGCAAAGTTTGGGCAGCAACGATTTGGAGTCTGGAGTTAGGTTGATGGCGATGGAGATGGAAATTAGGGTTTAAGGAATCTGTGGGAGATGGTGAGACTTGGGAGAGTGGGAGGTAATTAGCAGTGTTAGGGCGATTAGGGATTTATAAAATTAAAGAATGTGAAAATTTTTGATCGGAGGGAATTAAAGTATAGACCGGGTTTTGTAATTTTTGGAGGAAATGTTTTCCCGCTAGCAACAAAAGAGAGGGGTTTTCTAATTTTTGAGAAAAATTACAGTGGAACCAATAAAAGTGCCACTAAAAGTATGTTATAGCGGCACAATAGTAAAATGTCACTAAAATTTTGTGCCACTAAATGTAATTTTATTTGTATAGCTTTGTGCTCTGCAATCATCCCTGGCTCTTCCCTTTGGAAGTAGAAGTACCTGAAACATAAACTAAAAATCGTAAGCACAAAGCTTAGTGAGTTCCCCAAAATACAACATATCATACATATAATACGCCCCACCCAATGAGTGTAACCCCCCCCCCCCCAATCGCATAACGGGCCTCGCCCACTGAGTATCACGGGCCTCGCCAGACTCGCATAATGGGCCCCGCCTACTGAGCCCTAACTCGCATAACAGGCCCCGCCCAGCATACAATCATACAAGTATATCAAGCAAATAGCATACAGAATATCCATTGGGTCCCGCCCACCAAGCATATAACACATACACATGCAGATGTCACGCATACATCTAGAATCCTAACATAATAGTCATGGGCCGACATTGGTGCCTTCTACCCGCTAAACATAGTGAGGAAACTCACCTTACATTGTTGAATCTCATAGATATATCTTTGGTTGTTGGCCCGCTAAAATCTCAAAGCTATCAGTTACAAAATAACATCCAATTAATAATTTCATCCCGACTTACACTAAGAGTCCAAATTAGGGTAAAAGACCATTTTACCCTAACTTAGCCCAAGGCCAAGGCCTAATCCAATTGTCCAAAAGCCCAAATTCCAAAATAATCACCCAAAGCCTAAATATGGCCCAATTTTCCAAATTGGGCCCAAATCCCTTTCATGGGCCGTCAACCAAAAGAGTCCAATAAAATATCAACAACCCAACAATAGAATTCTGATGGCCCAACAAGGCCCAAGACAACTAAAGTCCCACATGGCCGAATATCGAGAAGCCTACATATCTGAAGCCCACTGCTGAGTACGCAGGGCGTACTTAGCTTTGTACGCTTAGTGTACTCGCTTTAGGGCTTGTACGCGCAACGTACCTGCTTGTATGCCCAACGTACTCCACCAACTTGGCCAACTTCTATTATTCAACTCTTAATTGATTTAGACTTCATCCAACACTCATATCTGACTTCCTTAAGGTTGTTTATCACGTAAAGTTGGCAACTTTACGTGCATGCATGACTTAATGAGGATCTTAGAGCTCAAAAGAGCTTAAAAAATGACTTAACACATGCATGAGTCAATAAATACCAAGGTTCTAAATAACGTAAGGCGTGACTTGGCGGCAATGTCAAGCCTCGAGTTTTTCCGAGCCTTGGCGAGTCACGTCGTTTGTAAGGCGTGACTTAAGGCGGCAATTTTGTATATAATTCATATTTTTATATGTATTTTCTACTATTATTCATTTTTATACACATATATAAGTCAAGGCGGCGTTTTGGTAAAACTTGGCGGCACATACAAGCCTTGGAGTCATGACGGAGCCATGGCGAGCTTTTTAGAACCTTGATAAATACCATAAAGTTTGCTTTTTATGCATAAGGGACCCTCAAAACGTCCAGATCTACAAGGTTTAGCTTCTACAACGTCCTTAGCTCATCAAGACCAACCAAAGGGACCAAAATAACCATAAACAAGCTAAAGAGTAGATCAAAGCAAAGAGTAGACAATGTATGGACTTTATACCTCAAAAGTCACCAAAGATGGAGGTAAGTCTGAATCTGTAAGCTCTCCTCCAAGGAATGAGTCTTCCAACTTCTTCTTCTACCACTTCAAGAAGCACAAAACCCACCAAAGTTCAAAACCCAGGCTCAAGAGCACCACACAAGGCAAAGGGACGAATTAGGGTTTTCAAAGGTATGGAGGTTGGTTAAACAAGGCCAAATGAGGCTATCATATGGTTTATATAAGGGTGAAAGCCCTAAAATTAGGGTTTCAAATATGATCATGTACGCCATGCATACTCCACGTACGCCTAACGTACGTGGATGAGCTCCGCGACCAATATCCAGCTAGCACGCTAAGCGTACACTATAGTACGCCCCACGTACTAGCCAAGGGACCAAAATGCAATACTTTTTAATATGAAGGGTTAAACATGAAACTTACAAATTTTCAAGTGTTACATGATGTTGTTATCAGTCTATTGCCTCCAGGTTTTCATTCTACCATAACTAATGTCTGCATTGAGGTATTTCACTTTCTTATTTTTTTTTTCGATCTATGATTTACCAAATATTCTAATGGTATTTTGGTTTATGGTTTCATTAAAGAAATTTTATTTTTTATGCATCTTAAAAAACATCTTGTGACTGCTAGCTACATTAATGATTCAATTTAGAAGTTACAAGAAGCAACCAAGGATTATGGGATTACAGTTCTTGGTGAAATGGGGTTAGATCCTGGAATAGGTTGTGTTTCTTTCTCTTTTGTATTAGCTTTGAGCATATATTCTTCTAAGTATGTCAATGTTTATCATTGCATAATGACTTTTATGCCCTTCAGATCATATGATGGAACATGCCTCAGGAGGGAAAATCAGACGTTTTGTTTCCAATTATGGAGGTATTCCATCCCCAACTGCAACAAATAATCCACTAGCTTAAAAGTTCAGGTAGCATTGACCATTTTTTGTTATGAAGGTAGTTTTTCAAACTTGGATTGACATATTTTTGTTGAAATTGGTAATATATATATATATATATATATATATATATATATATATATATATATATATATATATATAAGTTTTTGGTTCCAAAGGGTGTAATGTGAAACTTATATGCACAGGGTTTGGTGAAATAATGGGTACATTGGCAAAAATTGGTTTCTTTGACAGTGAAGTTAGTTTCATTTTTACCAATAAAGATAAAAATAGACCTAGCTCAGTATAGAACATTTCTATTTGAACTTTTGAAGATGGAAAATGTATGGAAATAGGTGGAGAAACAAAAGCCACATGTTTGGTCAAAGAAGAGGATAACATTTCCTTAATGTATTGTCGTCGTGTATGGGATTCCCGCCAAAGAGATGGTCCAGTTGGATTGACCAAAATGGGAGGTTCACGTAAAGAAGAACTAGGGGAAGTGTGTGATGATCTTCGACTGATTGAAAACCAAACGGATGAAACCCATTGTGTTTGCAGCCATCACCTGCAAGAAACTTATGTTGCATCTCTTTGGCTGATAATAAACTTGTAGCTTCTGAGGATTGTGCATGACTAAATTATTGGAGAACCTAAAAGAACATCTTAAGTACATTTAATTCACTTTTTCTGTTTTGAACATGATTTCATTTAATTGTGTTTTAAGGGATTGTTATTCTTTTATTTTATTGTCTTACAGCAATAGCTATGAACTTGATTTCATTTAATCTATTGCTATTATTTTATTTATTCATATGTTTTTTAATTTGGTAGATCTGTCATTGTACAATGCTAGTATGAGAACAAATTACATAATGATGATATATAACAAAGTGAAATTAATATTTTTTTATTAAACCGGTCAACCGTCCACCGGACGGGTATAAAACTAGTTGGAATTGGGGACGAATACGTAGTTGCACATGAAATCAAAAAAGGAAGTCGTTTCTCATCCAAATTCACGGTAATTGCACATGAAATCAAAAAAGGAAGTCGTCCATAAAACCCATAGCTTATTGAGAGGGATCGAGCAGAAGCAGTAGCGGAGGGAAGTACAAGATTTCACAAGGTTACTCTAATTATTTGCAATTCAAGGTAAAATTCTGTACCAATCTCGAATGACTTGTTCTTATGACATTACAAGGTGTTTATTTATGGTTTGATTGAGCCTGTTGTCAATTCGACCATAAAACCAACTTAATATATAGGTTTTGTTATTTTCAAAAATTGATTTCAAAATGGTGTTTGAATTCGATTCGTGCATTGTTTATAAAGGAATTAATCTCAAGTAATGGTTATGAGAAGTAGAGACATGATTTCAAATGATGAATCTGTGTAATATATAAGTTTTGTTATTTTCTTTAATAATTAGACAACAATTTATGTTTTAGTGGATTGTATATACGGATAACGATAAATATAATATATTCATAAACTACTTATATTTTCACCTATGTCTCAGGCGGGACTTGAACCCTCGACCTCATTAAGAGATGACAACACCTCATACAGCTGGGCTAAAAGCCCTTTGATAAATTATATATTATATTAATTAATATTAATTTTAATAGAAAGTATTAATGACCTCATATGTGTCGTACATCAATACCAAAATTGTTATTAATATTGTCTATTAAAATAGTTCAATGATTTAGTTAATGTTTTATTGTTAAAATTACATAGTTACTTCTGAAGTTTATATATAATATTTTAGATATTTAGAGTAATTGGTTAAATTCAATTTTTATTTTGTTTGTAAAATAGCACTTTAAGAGCTAGAAACATGAATTGTGTAAAATAATATAGTTGTTGATAAAACGAATGAGCAAAAACAATAAATACTTTTTTTAATTAGCAAAGTTTACCGAGGAATGGTAAAACTAGGTCAAAGCGTAAAGTCTCAACCAATCGAAATCTTCAAATGATTTAATAATACAGAATAACGCCTCTGATCAAAGGGGGTTGAGAATCCATGATAATAAGTAAAAAAATAAATACAGTTTAGAGATAAACATAGCAAAATTTACAAGGAAAACCCAAATCGTAAAAAACACACGGGCAGAAGGGACCACAAAGAAATCCACCTGTGATGATAATGTTTACAATGCAAAGAAAATAGGAAAAATACACGTATTTGGTGCAAAGTGTGGACTAAATTTACAACTAGGGTTTTGAGGACTAAAGCTCACACTCTTTCATACGGATGTTCATTATTTGGATAAAACTGAATTGTCTAGTTAGATAATTTGGATTTGACTATTTGGTTCAGATATTTGGATTTTTGGATTGGTTTTCAACAAAACCGCATTATTATTTTGTAGGGGTGAGCATAATAACCGAAAAACCGAACCAAAACCAAATTAACCAATATAACCGAACCATAATAACCGAACCATTTTAAAAACCATTGGTTCGGCTTCTAATTTTTGTTAACCGATAAGTAACAGTTCGGTTATGGTTTTATAGGTTAACCGAACCATTATTAACCGAACCGCTAACTTTATATTTTAATATATAAAAATTATAGATTATATATAATAATATAGTCAAACTTATTTACGACCAATTAAAATTTCAAAATATAATCCATTAATCCTCACTTATCAGGAGGCGAACGAGCAACCAAACCATCAAAGATTGATCACGTAGACACACACAACCTTCCAATCATGCATTGAGTTAGATTATTGATTAATGTTGTAATTCCTAACCGGCTAATTCTACAATTTGTAAACATTATTCACAATTAGTTTAATTTTCACACTCATAATCCCAATCAAAGGCTTCTCACACCGTTAATCCTAATCAAAGATTATTTTGACTTTATAGTCATATTCGAAGGATTTTTTGACTTTATAATCAAGACTTCTAGGTAAGTTACGTTTTTTTGTTATTCTTGACTCTGTGATATATTAAGAATGTATTGTTTTGATTTTTTTTTTTTTTTGGCTTTTTGTATTTATTGTTTTTGACTTAATCACATTAAATGTATATGAGTGATTGACTTTTTTTTATACAGATAACACATAATATGAATGTTTGACTCTTTTATTTTATAGTTTTTGATTTAATCATATTGAGCGTGTATGAATGTTTGACTTTATTTTAATATTAATATCAATTATCAATATATGAAATTATTAATGTCAAATTTTTTAATGTTTTATATTTTTATTAAATGTTTTTAATTTTGAATGTGACTATATGTTATCTCACTGTAAGTATTAAAGGTGCACATTTTATTCTATTACTAAAAGCTAGGTTACAAACATTGGCGTCGAAGACTTTTTGGTATTCTATTTTCATTTTTTATGTCAATATACTTTTGCCATTTATATTATTTTGAACATTATGGTTAACCAATATTAATAATTAACCAAAACCGTTAACCGATAAAAACCATTAACCATAACCAATATTAACCATACGCAATGGCTACCAAAATTAATTAACCAATCATAATAGTTATGGTTCGGTTTTAACCAATAACCGAACCAACCACCCCATACACACCCCTATTATTTTGGATTTCAGATTGGTTTTGGTTTATAAAATAAGAATCGAATAGCCCAAAAAGCCCGAATAACAATTTATTATTTATTTATTTTTGATATATCGATAACTATTTACTAATTTTTGATATATCGATAACTATTTATTAATTTTATAATAATTTTTTTTCAAATAAGTTCAAAAAGTTTCACCTAATAAAAAATATTAATATGCATTTTCTCTTAAAAGTTTTTTACCTATTAAATATTAAACTATAATATACCTTGTTAGTAGTTGTTTATAAATTTTGAATCACAACTAAATAATTTGTTTTTGCTTCTTCTGTAAAAATTAGATAATATTATCATTATATGTTATTTTAAAATGTTTTGGTTTCTGAAAACCAAATTATAAAAACCGATCCAACCGAATTTTAATTGGATCGGATCGGAATTGAGTTTGGATTATTCGGATCCATATTTTGAAAACCAAAATCAATTTGGATTTACTTAATTGGATCGGATCGAACCAATCCATCCAAACGAACACACCTACTCTCTCAGCCCAAAAGGACCAAACAGGGGACTTTTAACACGGCAGGTGCGCCCTGCGGTTTCTTCTAGAGCTTGTGAGTTCAAGGCCAAGTCGCCCAGAATTGAGTTCCAAATCCCGATTTTTTGTAGGCATCATCCTTTGAGTCATAGATTATTCTTAACGACCACACAAAAAATCTGAGGGGCTCTATCGTATAGAAAAATTAAATATCCTCCTACTTTTTGTTCCTATAAATCTTCCTATTCAATTAAATGATGACATGTGTCACATTTAATGCTCATTTAATGATATTTTAGTATACTAAAATGACACATGTCATCATTTAATTGGATAGGAGAATTTGTAGGAACAAAAGTAGGAGGATATTTAATTCTCCGATCGTATAATATAATTTCACTGGTAATTCAGTGTTTCTATCACAAAATTTGATGCACTACCCAAACATAATTCTTAGCATAGTCACTATATCACTACAAGAAAAAAGGGTATTAGCGGCGACAAAAGTCGCCGCTATTGCTCGCCAAAGTAGCTGCTAATAGCTTTACCGGCGACACGTCGCCGCTATTGAGTCGCTGCTACTGCTTTGTCGCTATTGATCAAAAAGTCGCCGCTAATGCTCACTGTCACCGCTAATGATGATGTCGCCGCTAATAGTGTCGCCGCTATTGCCTTTTTTATTTTATTTTTTAAAAGCAGCCATTTTTGACTGTCCAAAAACCGATACATAATAACGTTAAATGCAGAAAAACCGATACGTTAAATGCAGAAAAACGATTACATAACATCCAAGTTGCACATAAATACATACATACATACATTATACACAAATATATACTTTTTATACACATAAACAACCATCAACACACTCCAAATTGCACATAAATACACACATACATACATTATACACAAATATACATACTTTTTATACACATAAAACAACTATGAACACAATCCAAATTGCATACAAATACATACATACATACATTATACACATATACGTATTTTTTTTACACATACATATATGAAATACACACAATTTTCACACACATATATATGAAATACATACACATATAACATATTTCACACACATATATGAAATACACACATATATATAAAATACACACACAAATGCACACATATAAAACAAATTACAAAAAAATGCACCTGTGGTTCCCAAAACTTTTCCCTCTTTCAACTGGAGTCTTCGGTGCTGCAACAATGGTGGTGGTAGTTGATGCAGGTGACAGCAACTGCGACGGTAGTGATGGTGACCAGAGAGGAAAATAGATTTTTGA